CACCAAGGCCCAGGCAAGGCTCAGGAGCGGGCGGCAACGCAACCATCTCTGAACACCAAGGCTCCCACGAGCGGGGGGTGACGTAACAAGCTCTCAACGCCAAGGCTCCCAGTACGAACGGTGGTGTGAGTAATTTCGGTTTCTGTTGCTGCAGCGCTCTTTCCGTTTCTGTGCCGGGCCAGGTAACGGACAGAGAGAGGTACGAGCGATGACGTTTTGGTGTTGGGCGAAGCCCCTTAAGGGGGGGTTCCAGGGGGGGTGGGTAGCCCGGACGAATGAGTGTTAATGGCCGTTTTGGGGTTTTTCCCTAGGGTTTTTGCATGTTTTTCGGATTCTCCCTCAAGACGGCCCAAGAGCGCTTCAAGAGAGCCCCAGACCGCCCAAGACGGCCCAAGAGGCCCCCAAGAGGCCCCCAAGAGGCGCCCAAGGGGCGTCCCAGGGGGGGGGGGCGGGGTTTTCGATTTTCCGGAGGAGAACGTATATTTCTTGTATCTACGGCTTTTCGCCTTTCGCGGCGTGGACGACGGCCCAAGGGGCCCCCAAGATTGCCCCACGACGGCCCAAGAGGCTCCCAAGAGGCTCCCAAGAGGCCCCCAGGACGGCCCGGGGGGGCCCCCAGACGGCCCAAGAGGCGCCCAAGACGGCCCAAGAGGGCCCCAAGACGGCCCCAAGAGGGGGACCACGAACCGAAAAGTCTGGCCTATCGCCCCAAGACGCTCCCAGGAGGCCCCCACAGCCCCCCAAGAGGCCCCCAAGAGGCGCCCAAGGGGCGTCCCAAGAGGCCACCTGGAGGTCCTAATCATAGATTTTCCATTGGAAAACGTACATTTTTAGCATGCACGGCTTTCCGGCTTTCGCGGCGTTGAGGACGGTCCACGAGGCCCCCAAGACCGCCCCAAGACGGCCCAAGAGGCTCCCAAGAGGCCTCCAAAACGGCCCAAGAGGGCGCCAAGACGGCCCCAGAGGCGCCCAAGACGGCCCAAGAGGGCCCCAAGACGGCCCCAAGAGGGGGACCACGAACCCGAAAGTCTAGCCTTTCGCCCCAAGAAGCTCCCAGGAGGCCCCCGGAGCCCCCCAAGAAGCCCCAAGAGGCTCCCAAGAGGTTCCCAAGATGCCTCCAAAAGGGCCCGACAAGGGCCCCAGTAGGACTCCCAAGGAGGCCCAGAGACGCCAAATAGAGAGCGATCGGTAATGCAAAAAGCTCTTCACACAAGGCTCCCAAGAGCGAACGGTGACGTAAACAAGCTGATGAGACCAAGGCTCCCATCAGAGAGCGGTGACGCAACAAGTTCCTGACACCAAGGCCCAGGCAAGGCTCAGGAGCGGGCGGCAAGGCAACAATCTCTGAACACCAAGGCTCCCAAGAGCGAGGGGTGACGTAACAAGCTCTCAACGCCAATGCTCCCGGTACGACCGGTGGTGTGAGTAATTTCAGTTTCTGTTGCTGCAGCGTTCTTTCCGTTTCTGTGCCGGGCCAGGTAACGGAAGGAGCGAGGTACGAGTGATGACGTTCTGGTGTGGGCGAAGCCCTAAAGGGGGGGTTCCAGGGGGGTTGGGTAGGCCGGACGAATGAGTGTTACTGGCCGTTTTGGGGGCGGATTCTCCTTCAAGACGGCCCAAGAGCGCTTCAAGAGAGCCCCAGACAGCCCAAGACGGCCCAAGAGGCCCCCAAGAGGCCCCCAAGAGGCGCCCAAGGGGCGTCCCAAGAGGGCCCCAGGAGGCCAAAATCATAGATTTTCTTTAGGAAAACGTATATTTTTAGCATCTACGGCTTTTCGCCTTTCGCGGCGTTGACCACGGCCCAAGAGGCCCCCAATACCGCCCTAAGACGGCCCACGAGGCTCCCAATAGGCTCCCAAGAGGCCCCCAAAACGGCCCAAGAGGGCCCCCAGACGGCCCAAGAGGCGCCCAAGACGGCCCAAGAGGGCCCCAAGACGGCCCCAAGAGGGGGACCACGAACCCGAAAGTCTAGCCTTTCGCCCCAAGAAGCTCCCAGGAGGCCCCCGGAGCCCCCCAAGAAATCCCAAAGAGGCCCCCAAGAGGCCCCCAAGAGGCCTCCAAAAGGGCCGACAAGGGCCGTAATAGGACTCCCAAGAAGGCCCAGAGACGCCAAATAAAGAGCGATGGGTCACGCAAAAAGCTCTTCACACCAAGGCTCCCAAGAGCGAACGGTGACGTAAACAAGCTGATAAGACCAAGGCTCCCAGCAGAGAGCGGTGACGCAACAAGTTCCTGACACCAAGGCCCAGGCAAGGCTCAGGAGCGGGCGGCAACGTAACAATCTCTGAACACCAAGGCTCCCAAGAGCGAGGGGTGACGTAACAAGCTCTCAACGCCAAGGCTCCCGGTACGAAGGGTGGTGTGAGTCATTTCGGTTTCTGTTTCTGCAGCGTTCTTTCCGTTTCTGTGCCGGGCCAGGTAACGGAAAGAGCGATTCACGAGTGATGACGTTCTGGTGTGGGCGAAGCCCTAAAGGGGGGGGGTCCAGGGGGGGGCGTAGGGGGGACAAATGAGTGTTGATGGTCGTTTTCGGGTTTTCCCTCGGGTTCTGGCATGTTTTTCGGGTTCCCCCCCAAGACGGCCCAAGAGCGCTCCAAGAGAGCCCAAGACCGCCCAAGACGGCCCAAGAGGCCCCCAACAGGCCCCTAAGAGGTGCCCAAGGGGCGTCCCAAGAGGGCCCCTGGAGGCCCAAATCTTCAATTTTCCGGAGGAGAACGTATATTTTTTGCGCATACGGCCTTTTTGGCTTTCACGGCGTTGACGACGGCCCAAGAGGCCCCCAAACCGCCCCAAGACGGCCCGAGAGGCTCCCAAGAGGCCCCCAAAACAACCCAAGAGGGCACCCGGACGGCCCAAGAGGTGCCCAAGACGGCCCAAGAGGGCCCCAAGACGGCCGAAGAGAGGGACCACGAACCGAAAAGTCTAGCCTTTCGCCCCAAGACGCTCCCAGGAGGCCCCAAGAGCCCCCCAAGAAGCCCCCAAAGGCCCCCAAGAGGCGTCCCAAGAGGCCACCAGGAGGCCAACATCATTGATTTTCTATGGGAAAACGTGCATTTTTAGCATTCACGGCTTTTCGGCTGCCACGGCGTTGCAGACGGTCCAAGAGGCCCCCAAGATCGCCCCAAGATGGCCCAAGAGGCTCCCAAGAGGCCCCCTAAACGGCCCTAGAAGGCGCCAAGACGGCCCAAGAGGCGCCCAAGACGGCCCAAGAGGGCCCCAAGACGGCCCCAAGAGGGGGACCACGAACCGAGAAGTCTAGCCTTTCGCCCCAAGAAGCTCCGAGGAGGCCCCCAGAGCCCCCCAAGAAATCCCAAAGAGGCCCCCAAGAGGCCCCCAAGAGGCCTCCAAAAGGGCCGACAAGGGCCGTAATAGTACTCCCAAGAAGGCCCAGAGACGCCAAATAAAGAGCGATGGGTCACGCAAAAAGCTCTTCACACCAAGGCTCCGAAGAGCGAACGGTGACGTAAACAAGCTGATAAGACCAAGGCTCCCAGCAGAGAGCGGTGACGCAACAAGTTCCTAACACCAAGGCCCAGGCAAGGCTCAGGAGCGGGCGGCAACGCAACAATCTCTGAACACCAAGGCTCCCAAGAGCGAGGGGTGACGTAACAAGCTCTCAACGCCAAGGCTCCCGGTACGAAGGGTGGTGTGAGTCATTTCGGTTTCTGTTTCTGCAGCGCTCTTTCCGTTCCTGTGAGCCTTGGCTGGGCCTTGTTGTCAGAAACTTGTTACGTCACCGCTCTGCTGGGAGCCTTGGTCTTATCAGCTTGTGTACGTCACCGTTCGCTCTTGGGAGCCTTGGTGTGAAGAGCTTTTTGCGTTACTGATCACTCTTGGCGTCTCTGGGCCTTCGTGGAAGTCCTATTGGGGCCCTTGTCGGGCCCTTTTGGAGGCCTCTTGGGGGCCTCTTGGGGCTTCTTGGGGGTCTGTGAGGGCCTCCTGGGAGCGTCTTGGGGCGAAATGGCCCTAATTTCGAAGACAGCCCCAAAGTGCCCGAGAAACCTCCAAGACGGCGTCGGAGAGGTCCAAGAGGGCCCGAAGACGGCCCAAGAGCGCTCCAAGAGGGCCCAGTACGGCTTCAAGACAGCCCAAGAGGCCCCCAGAGGCCCCCAACGGGGACCCCAAGAGGCAAAACTCGTCCCATTCCTTTTGAAAAGCGTGCATTTTTGAGCATATTCGCTTCTTTGGTCTTCACAGCGTCCGAGGCGGCCCAGGAGGTCCCCAAGACCGCCCCGAGACGGCCCTAGAGGCCCCCAAGACGGCCCAAGAGAGCTGCAAGAGAGCCCAAGAGAGTTCCCTGATGGTCCCAAAAGGTTCCTACCACACGAGGTCCCTAAGGCGACCCAGGAGGGCCCCCAGAAGGTCCCAAGACGGCCCAAGCCCGCCAAGACGGCCCGAGAGGGCCCCGGGACGGCCTAGAAGGGCCCCGAGACGGCCCAAAAGAACACCAAAAGGACCCCCAGGAATGCCCAGACCCAAAGTTTGTTGCTCGAATTTTGTATGTCGCACCAACGCACAGGAAGGCCCCGGACGGCCCAAAAGGGCCCCAAGACGGCCCAAAAGAGCCCCAAAAGGACACCCAGGAAGGCCTGGAAATGTAACACGTATGGATGTTCGCAAGGTTGGTTGGTAGATTTTTGCATGTCTTACCGAAGCCTTAACACAAACAGGGCTCCAAGACACTAAGCCAACGAACTCGCGCCCTCACAAGATAAATGCGCTTTCCGTCCCCATGGCAAGCAGGTGACGGAAAGAGCGAGGTACGAGGGATGTACGTTGAGTTGGGGCGATGCCCTCAAGGGAGGGTTCCAGGGGAGGGGCGAGGCGGTTTGTTTTTTCGAGTGAAGCGGCTCCTGGGCGGCTCCCATGGTGTGTTTCCATGTATTTTTCGAGTGAAGCGGCCAGAGGGCCCCAAGACGGCCCAAGAGGGCCCCCAAACGGCCCCAGAGGGCCCCAAGACGGCTCCAAGAGAGCTTCGGATGGCTTCCAGACGGTTCCGTAGCGCAGCCATCTTGACTCAAGAAGGGGGCTTTGGCTGGAGCCTTTGCTGCTCAGAGTTTCCCAACCACGATGCGGCCTTGTCGTTTGTATTGCTTTAGTGCCTGCTTCCAGCTAGCCTTCAGCTGTCCAGCGACGAAGTCGCTGCTGCACCATAGCAAACAGCGATCTCAGTTCTATCTCGACAAGTGCACTCGCGATATCGGGGGGGGGGCAGAGGGCTCCGAGCAGTGGACCGTCAAGTTTGATTTGACCCTCGGCCCCGGCAAGAAATTTCAAAGCCGAGACGGTCGATCGGGTGCCATGTCTTTTCCAATCCCTGACGATGGCTTCTGGTTGAAGTCGGCACACCTAATGGTTACAGATAAGACGGGTAGCCAGCTTTTTTCGTGGCCGCCCATTCACGTGCATCACATCGTGTGCAGGACCAATATCGCAGACCTGTGGTACGAGCAGGAGGTGTTTGAGCACCGTGCTTCTTTCCTAACAGTGGCTGGCGCTGGCGGCATGAGCAAGTTCTCCCACCGCTACACTGTACTGAACAGGACAGACGGTTGGGCAGAGTATTACCCCGCTCAGACTGAAGTCACCTGTGGACTGCGCATTGATGATGATCGTTTGGTGGGGGACGCTCAAGAATACAAGCTAGTAGTCATTATGGATCTTGTTATTGATGCTGATCGGCGTTACGGTTTCCGTCCCCTCAGCACCGCTTATTGGGAAGGCACGACCACAGGGCAGGTAGGGTACAATTTGCCAACCGGAACCACCACACTCTTCTCGAAAGAATACGAAACACCAGGGGCAGGCTCGTTTGATCCAGACAGCCTTGGTTCTCATACGCATCCCGGCGCGAAGTCATTAAAGCTCTTTGCGAAACGCTTGGGTGGCCAATATTTTGCTACGCCACAGCTTCTGTTCACAATGCAGCACCCCGTGTTCGTTGTGAAACCAGGGTCGCACAGCCAGGAGCTGAATGTAAAACCTGGCCCGTACGTAAGACCACCCACTCTGGACTGGAGTGAAATAGGATTGAAATGGTTGACTGGCAGCCTTTTCTCGTCAGGAATCGATAGCACTAGGGAGTGTGCTTTTCAAAAGGGAGACATATTCTACCTGGAGGCGGTTCATAATGTTTCGCGCTTCACACTTATCGATATGATGACGTTGCGTTGGACTGTGTTTTGGAACGACCCGCCACAGTCGATCTTTGCCCCAGGCCCTTATTTCCAGTCAGGGTTCCTGCGCAACCAGCTATGGGACCAGTACCTGGCTCCTGCTGATTTGCTCGCCCAAGTCCCGCAGAAGGTCGACCAGAGCGTAATGCTTGATTTGCACTCGAGAATGCCGTCCTTGTTTTGCCACCCATACAGAGCTGCCGACGGCAAATACGTATCATGTCTTCGCAGGTATGCTAATAAGGTGTTTATGCACGCTTCGTCAGTAAACGATGTCGACATGAATCTTCTCGCACATCGGCAGAAGTCGTGCGGCCAGTGAGTTTAGCTAAACTGCCATCTTTGCAATTCTCTGGGGAGCCTTCCCCGGGAGTAGAAAGCTGAACCTGAATTTGAGGGCTATGTTGGCGTCCCGTGAGGGGTCTGTCGGCGTAGCGCTTTCCAAGACATTTCGATATCTGGTCATAGGGGCCGTGGGTGGCAGCGTGCAGCGTTGGAATTCGTTGCTTTTCTCCTGCGCTTCCTCGCCTTTTCTCTTCTTCCCCCTCCTCCCTCCACGTTCACATGAGTGAGGCAACATTCCACTGGTTCCCCTCCTGTCTCCTTCTTGCGTTTGATACTGTTTCAGCCGCCCTCAAGCGCGCTGCATGCATTGATGCCTTTCTCTGCGCGTTGAACACGCGCCGTCTTGGGTGCTCCCCAGCCCCATCGCTCGTCTTTGAAGCTCGTCTTCGGATCACTGCTCGGAGGCATACGCCCTTGGCGGAAGCCTGGAGCGAGGCGGGGGTCTCACTGTCTCGTCGTGTAGCGAGGGTGGCGGTACCGAGGTTGGAGGCGCTGCCGGTATCGGGGATGGACAGAACCCCCAACAGTGACACGTCGATTAGTGAATTGTCCGTTTTCGGTTCTCGAGAGGGCGCCGTGGCCGTTATTTTCCAGCCTTGCGCCCGCCAGGTTTGGGCCTCAGGTCGTTTTCACTAAACCACGTTTTACTAAAGGGGGGTCTGTCCATCCCCGATTGTGAATAGTTTTATCAAATATACAAACGCGCTCGACCCTTCCAACGTCATGAGAACTACCTACGCCCAGAGGGACGGTGGGACCATGTGTGCGTCGGCCCCCCCGGGAGCGGCCCCCCCCGGGAGCGACGCGCGCGCTCATGCATCTTACATCGTATATGCTCGGCGGCGGGCCTTTCGGGACCGAACCGCCCGCGCACCGCCCGAGCAGCGCTGTGCGGTCCTGTACTTTTCAACGGACTCGGATCGGACGTGCGCATTCCCAAAGGGGCGCATAGTACGCGTGCTCCCGAGTGAGATGCACATCGCGGTGCCGTCAGCTACGTCCTGACTATCCACTGGCAACGCCTGGTGGTAACTGGTATTAGAGTGTCCAAGCGCTAGAACTCGCTTCGTTGGGACATCCGGCTTGGAAATAAACAAAAAAATTTGCTTCCAGACGGTCCAAGAGAGCTTCGAGACGGCTCCAGAGGCTTTCAAGAGGGCCCCAGAGAGGGCCCGAGGAGGCCAAGAATATTAATTTGCCTTACGTGTTTGCCTCTGTTTCGGGTTCTTCTTTTTTCGGATCCAGAAGGGCCCCAGCCGGCCCAGGAGGCCCTAAAGATCGTCCCAATACGGCCCCAGAGGCGCCCCAAAGGGGCCGAAAACAGTCCAACAGGGCCCCCAGACGAGCCCACGACGGTCCAAAAGGCCTCAAAGATCGTCCCAAGACGGCCCCAGAGGCCCCCCAAACAGGCCGAAAATGGTCCAAGAGTACCCCCAGACGGTCCTAGAGGGCCCCAAGACGTCCCAAGAGGGCTCCCAAACGGGTCCAATATGGCCCCAAGAGGGCCCCAAAATGCTCCCAAGAGGGCCCGAAGAGGCGGTATGGGGACTGGGCTGCTTGGGTGTGGGGACTGGGCTGGCCCAAAGACGGCCAAAGAGTTCCAAAACGGCCCAAAAGGGCTCCAAAAATACTCCCGAGAGCCCTTGAGACACCAAGATGGCTCCCAACAGCGAGCGGTGACGTAACAAGCTCTGAACACCAAGGCTCCCCAGAGCGCGGTGACGTAAAGGTGCCATGCGCCATCTCGGGCAAGTGCTTGCAGCGCTCTTTGGGTTCCCGTGCCGGCCCAGGTGACGGAAAGAGCGTGATACGAGCGATGTACGTTGGGTTGGGGCGAAACCCTCTAGGGAGGTGTCCAGGGGAGGGGCGAGGCGGGCAAGGATTGGTTGCAATGGCTGCCTGGGGGCCGCTTCCATTTTACTTTTTCGATTGAAGCAGCTCCCAGGCGGCTCCCATTGCCTGTTTCCATGTATTTGTTCGAGTGAAACGGCCAGAGGGCACCAAGAGGGTCCTAGAGGGCCCCCGAAACGGCCCACAGACGGCCCCGAGAGAGCCTCAGATGGCCTCCAGACGGTCCAAGAGAGCCTCGAGACGGCGCCAGAGGCCTTTCAGAGCGCCCCCGAGAGGGCGTTTGGATGGAGGCCGGAAGCGCTCACTTATCTACGTTTTTCAAGGTTTTTTTGGTTGTCACCTTTTCGGGTTCAGAAGACCCCGTCCCAAGACGGCTCCAAGGGTCCCCCAAAGGATCCGAACATTTTCCAAGAGAGCCCCTGGACGGTCCCAGAGGGGCCCAAAACAGCCCATGAGGTCCCCAGGACGGCCCCAAGAGAGCCCCAAGGGGCCCCTCCGAGGCTCCCAAGAGACTCCCAAGGGGGCCCGACGAGGCGGTGTGGGGAATGGGCTGCTTGTGGGGTTGGCCCCACGACGGCCCAAGAGTCCCACCACGGCCCTCCAGACCGGCCCCCGAGAGGGCCTGAGGAGCCCACAAACCTTGTTATTCCTTCGGCTTCTCACGGTTTTTAGGGTTTTTGCTTTTTCGGGCCCAGAAGGACCCCAGACGGCCCAAGAGGCCCCAGAGGCCCCCCGAAAGCCCCCAAATTGTCCAAGAGGGCACCCCAAACGGCCCATGAGGGCTCCAAGACGGCCCAAGAGAGCCCCTACGGCCCCACGAGAGCACCGAGATGGCCCCAAGAGGCTCCCAAGATGGCCCGAAGAGGTGGTGTGGGGCCTAGGCTGCTTGGGTGTGGGGACTGGCCTGGCCCCAAGACGGCCCACGAGTCCTAAAGCGGTTCTAAAGAGCTCTGAGCAGCAAGGCTCCCAATAATGAGCGGCAACGTAAGAGTCTCTGAGCACCAGGGCTCCCATCAGAGAGCGGTGACGCAACAAGCTCTTCACGCCAAGGCTCCCCAGAGCAAAGGGTGCCAGGAGCCCTCCCGGGTCAGTTCCTGCAGCGCTCTTTCCGTTCCCGTGCCGGCCCAGATTTCCGTGTTGGCCTAAAAGGGCTTCCCAAATACCCCCAAGAATCCCTTGAGACGCCAAGGAACACCATGGCTCCCGACAGCGAGCGGTGACGTAGAAGCTCTGAACACCAAGGCTCCCCAGAGCGCGGTGACGTAAAGGTGCCATGCGCCATCTCGGGCAAGTGCTTGCAGCGCTCTTTGCGTTCTCGTGCCGGCCCAGGTGACGGAAAGAGCGTGATATGAGCGATGTACGTTGGGTTGGGGCGAAGCCCTCTAAGGAGGGGTCCAGGGGAGGGGCGAGGCGGGCAAGGATTGGTTGCAATGGCTGCCTGGGGGCCGCTTCCATTTTATTTTTTCGAATGAAGCAGCTCGCGAGCGTCTTTCATGGCCTGTTTCCATGTATTTTTTAGAGGAAGCGGCTCAAGGGCCCCAAGACGGCCCAAGAGGGCCCTAAAGACGGCCCCAAGGGAGCCTCAGCTGGCCTCCAGACGGTCCAAGAGAGCTTCGAGACGGCTCCAGAGGCCCTCGAGAGGGCCTCAGGAGGCCAAAAGCATTGATTACCCTTAAGTTTTCGAAAGGGTCCCAATACGGCCCCACGAGAGCACCAAGATGGCCCCAAGAGTCTCCCAAGAGGGCCCGAAGAGGCGGTGCGGGGACTGGGCTGCTTGGGTGTGGGGACTGGCCTGGCCCCAAGACGGCCCAAAAGCACCAAAACGGCCCCAAAGGGCCCCCCAAAGACTCCCAAGCAGCCCCAGGGACGCCTAGTAACACCATGGCTCCCCGCAGCGAACGGTGACGTTACAGGCTCTGAACACCAAGGCCCCTCAGAGCGCGGTGACGTAAAGAGCTCTGAGCAGCAAGGCTCCCAAGAGCGAGCGGCAACGTAAGAGTCTCTGAACACCAGGGCTCCCAACAGAGAGCGGTGACGCAACAAGCTCAAAGCGCCAAGGCTCCCCAGAGCAAAGGGTGTCAGGAGCCCTCCCGGGTCAGTTCCTGCAGCGCTCTTTCCGTTCCCGTGCCGGCCCAGGTAACGGAAAGAGCGAGGTACGAGTGATGACGTTCTGGTGTGGGCGAAACCCTAAAGGGAGGGGTTCCAGGGGAGGGGGGTAGCGTGCCCATATGGGTGTTAATGGCCGTTTTGGGATTTTCCCCAGGTTTTTGCATGTTTTTCGGTTTTTTTCGGGTTCCCCCCCAAGACGGCCCAAGAGCGCTCCAAGAGAGCCCAAGACCGCCCAAGACGGCCCAAGAGGCCCCCAAGAGGCCCCAAAGAGGCGCCCAAGGGGCGTCCCAAGAGGGCCCCAAGAGGCCAAAATCATATATTTTCCAAAGGAAAACGTATATCCGTAAGGGCTTCGCCCCCTGCCGCCGGCCCCCTCTCTCGGAGAATGGGCCATGGAAGAGCTAAGTCATGAGGCCTTGGCGCTGTCGTGCAGTAGTATCGAAACTTCATGCGAAGCCGATTCGCAATCAGCAAAACCAACTGATCACAAGAGGGGTTACCACACCTGGCGATTGGTAAGACGTTTATGGTTTACGGGCTTGGTTACCACACCTTGCGATTAAAGGGCCGAGGGAGTTCTCGCAGTTTGGGTTACCACGCCTTGCGATGGATGTGCGTGAAGGGTGGCACCGAATTTCAGAAATGTACCAAATCCCCTGTGTTTTTGGACCCTGACCCCGCGGATCTGCGTGAGGGGTGGCGCCGAATTTCAGAAATGTGGCAAATCCCTTGTGTTTTTGGACCCTGACCCCGCGGATCTGCGTGAGGGGTGGCACCGAATGACAGAAATGTGGCAAATCCCGTGTGTTTTTGGACCGTGACTCTGCGGATCTGCGTGAGTGGTGGCACCGAATTTCAGAAATGTGGCAAATACTGTGTGTTTTTGGACTCTGACCCCGCGGATCTGCGTGAGGGGTGGCGTCGAATTATAGAAATGTGGCAAATCCCCTGTGTTTTTGGACCCTGACCCCGCGGATCTGCGTGAGGGGTGGCACCGAATTTCAGAAATGTGGCAAATCTCCTGTGTTTTTGGACCCTGACCCCGCGGATCTGCGTGAGGGGTGTCGATTTCGAGCCCCCGCAGCAATTCAGACAACGCGCCCAGGAGACGCTAAAAGTCTTGGTTTGGGCCTCCCCCCCCCTCGCGCGGTCAATCAACTAGTTACAGTAACCAGCAAGAAGCAGAACTGTAACACTGGAAACTACAAGCTACAACTGGTATAGGAAACTGCGAACCCGCGCCTACAGCCTGGTGGCCCCACAAGTGGGCCGGCGGATTTTTAGCATCTACGGCCTTTCGCCTTTCCCGGCGTTGACGACGGCCCCAGAGGCTCCCAAGACCGCCCCAAGACGGCCCAAGAGGCTCCCAAGAGGCCCCCCAAAACGGCCAAGAGGGCCCCCAGACGGCCCAAGAGGCGCCCAAGACGGCCCAAGAGGGCCCCAAGACGGCCCCAAGAGGGGGACCACGAACCGAAAAGTCTAGCCTTTCGCCCCAAGACGCTCCCAGGAGGCCCCCAGAGCCCCCAAGAAGCCCCAAGAGGCTCCCAACAGGCGTCCCAAGAGGCCACCGAGAGGCGAAAATCATTGATTTCCTATGAGAAAATGTACATTTTTAGCATACAAGGCTTTTCGGCTGTCACTGCGTTGAAGACGCTCCAAGAGGCCCCCAACACCGCCCCAAGACGGCCCAAGAGGCTCCCAAGAGGCCCC